ATTCGTTTATTCGTTTTATTCAATTTTTTATTTGAATTATCTACTTGAATTATCAAATTATTCGTTATTCATTTTATTCGAATAAACTTCCAATTTAATTCAAAACTCAAAATTCATAACGTGTAAAACAAATAATTCGAATAAACCTTATTCGAATAGAAACCCTATTCAAACAGTGTGATTGTTAGTGATTTTGCCATTTACAGACTTGCAATATTTATTACGGTTTATGTCTTTAACGACTTTGGGGTGCATGTCGAATTTATTTATGAGAGTAATTCAGGTTTTGATATATTAATATATTTTGTGTGATACATATTTTGTGGCTGAAAAAAAAAGTTCTTTAGAAAAAATTTTTTTTTGACAAATTGTACAAATTATACAAATATAATAAAAAACCACAATGGAAAACACTTTGGGTGAAAATAAACATCATAATGATACCTTACTGATAAAAATGATGAATATTCAAAGAAAAGATATGCAATGTATGGGAAATGTCCAACATGCAACAGATATAATACCAATTATTCATGGTGTCAATCATGTGATCCAAAACTATTAACTGAAGGATGGACTAGTGGCAATGAAACATTAGATGAGTTGATTAAAAGTACACAACTTAAAGCAACTAAGTATGATAATTATTATCATCTTCAATGGATTCCTTATAATGATTTAACAAATATTGAAAAGATAGGTGAAGGTGGGTTTTCAACTATATCCAAAGCTACTTGGTTAAATGGTTATAAAAGTATAAATTATTATTATAACAATGAAATAATTAGCAAGGATATGCCTGTGGCACTAAAAAAAATACATAATTCACAGAATATTTCTGATGAATTTCTTAATGAGGTAGATTATTTTATTTTCTATTTATTTTCTAATTTTTTAAATATTATTCTGAAAATCAATATATTTTTTTTATATAGTTTAGAAATTATGTCACATTTTATAATGAATCATTTATAAATAAAATTTATGGATTAACACAAGATCCAGCTACAAAAGAATATATATTTGTAATGGAATACATGGAAGATGGAAGTATTCAAGATTATGAAGGTCCATATAAAAGAAATAAAAGGTATGGGGAATGTCCAACATGCAATAGATATAATACTTATTATTCATGGTGTCAATCATGTGATCCAAATTTATTAACTGAAGGATGGACTAGTGGCAATGAAACATTAGATAAGTTGATTAAAAGTACACAACTTAAAGCAACTAAGTATGATAATTATTATCATCTTCAATGGATTCCTTATAATGATTTAACAAATATTGAAAAGATAGGTGAAGGTGGGTTTGCAACTATATCCAAA